CTGATATCCATTGTTGGTACAGTTAACGTTATGGTTCAAGCAAGACGTAACGCTGCTGCCTACCGTTAGCCACAATTCCTATATGCTAAAAATTTATGACCAAAAACATGACATTAGGATGGAATAGAGTCCTGAATATCAACTACAAAACATAACCAATACTAGATATCATACTCATTGAATGAGTTAATTACTAACTTAGGCTTAGTCACTTAATGAAGCGACATATACTACATTCAATTTTCGTTGTATAGATTAGCATTAACTAGTTGACATATTCAAATGAAGAGTGACAAATAGGATAAAACATAATCAGTTGTGAATTCCATTACTTGACACGATTCACAAATTCACCATTAAAGAAGTTTGATTAAAATGTGCAAACATGGTTCATCTGATAATACTGACCTTTGAAATTTGTAAAATTTATCACTTCAAGTATTGATGAATGTCTCATTTGAAATTTACGGTGACATGGATATAGTTATTCACATAAAAATCTGGTATCGCTTCGAAATGGTTATACCCCTATCTAAGATTGTGGTTGACGAGTGCCAAGTAGCACGAAACCCGGGTCCAGGATTTCCTATCAACCAATTTTGAGGAAACTGGTTCTCCCTAACGGATTCGTTCTCGTATCACCTAGCTTCATAGTCAGTGACGTTACCACTGAGCTATCTGGGCCGCAACTAACATCTTATAGGATTGAGATGTATTTACAATTGATTGATCACTGTGTAGTGATCAATGTCATATGTAACAGGTGCTTCTTAATGCAGATCGAATCCTATTAATCAAGTTACACTAGTCTAGATGACTTGACATAACATGCAATCACTATGTTGAGATAAGATGCTGATTAGAGATCATCGATAAGAAATCCTAGATAGGATTCGATCTTCATTAAGAAAGATCTGACACACATAATATTGATTACTACCCAGTGATCAATCAATTTTAAATTCATTTATCTAGTTTTAAATTATCATTAACAAAAGGGAAATGTAGGGAAACAAAAATAAACTCATTCATAAGTTTATAAGTAGTATATACCACTTATCCATCATTTTGTTTGTTTTCAATTTTTTAATGATGATAAACTATAAAGATTAGTTCAATTAAAGGACATATATAATTAACATTAACATTATGCGTATATATATATAGACTATTGTTTAATATTTCCTGTATGAATTAAAATGAATTTATAATAATTAGTAGTATATACATTTTATTATTCAATTTTGATTAATGAAGTGTATTTATGAAGAGGTAACACCTAGTTGAGTTTATTTGTTACTTCAGATTTTGAATGACATTAGTTAAGTGTAATGAACATTGCTATCAAGTTAATAATGATTTGGTTATGTATGAAAAGGATTTCTGTTATTTAAATACATAAAGATTGGTACAAGAAGGCACCAAATGATTGTGAACCACATGAATTATTCGATTTGTATGTGGACTGTGATACTGGTCGAGTGTCTAAACTGAAACAGGTAGTTCTTTTAGAGGGACCATATCCGGAGCCTTCGACCTAATGGTCCAATCCACAAGACAGTGGAGCAACGTCAGGAGATACAGTCCCATGGTAACCAATAATTGGTTCATATGTCATTTGTTCCTTCAGTATCCTGGAGGTCATGTGCACCGTTTGCTTGTAATGAGAGTTTTCTAATTGCCCTACGTGAACTCTCCGTATCCACCAACTTGGTTAAAGCGTAGGATATTCGCTTTTTGTCCTCACAATTTCATAAACAAAACCTCGTGGTGCGAGAAGCCAGTGAGTAGGACTTCCCAGCCAGTGGTTGTATGTACGTGGCCATGTGAGAGCATTTGTAGAAAGGGCGCTGACTCTCCCCACTCTCGGCTGTACCAGGGCATTCGGGGGATTTATCTAGTTAAGTATATATAAACACTGAGGTCATCTTTCTGTAAATTAAAAAAAAATTCAACTGAGGTCTTTCGATGACGGAATTTATACGTTCCAATATCTTTGTTTAAAGAGGGGTGGTGGTTTAGATTACGTGACATTGAATTTTTAGCACCTCAACTTTTTAATGTCCAGTTTTTTTTCATTATCTTGCATTTTGATGTTCAAATAGCGAGTGAACTGTTTATATAAGAATACGTATACCAATGCGTATACCAACACTGCATGGACAATCCTACTCACTGACTTCTTGCCACGGTGTGTTGTTTACGAAATTGAGAGGACAAAAAGCGAATATCCTACACTTTAACTGGGTTGGTGTACATGAAAAGTCCACCTGGGGTAATTGGATCCTGAGGGAACAAATGGCGTATAAACCAATTATTGGTCACCAGCTGCTATGGGACTGCATCTCCTTGCGATGCTCCACTGCTTTGTGGATCATAATTTTAGATTGAACGCTCCGGATGTGACCCCTAAGAGAACCACCTGTTTCGGTTTGCGCACCCGGACAGTATCCCATCCCTCACACAAATCGAATGATTTATGTGGCACATATTTGACGCCTCTTTGTACCAATATCTATGTGTTCAAATAAATAATATAAGTTAGGATGTGCTACGGTGTCGTCTTCATAGAGAATTATCCTTAAATAGTTAGTACTAATCTATTAACTAAACAATATTGAATATTGAAAATAGATAGTTATCCCTATATTGACTTAATTATTGTTATAAACAACTGAAGATTAAACGAAATAAATTCAAATTCGATACTTCGATGTTCAAGGTCATTTATGTTTACTATGTGTATATCTATATGTTTTTTTTTTGCTTTTTATGTATTTATGAAAGAAAATGTCCTTACTTTCACTAAAAGTTGTATTACCCTAAAAAAAAGTAAAGAGACATTACCGAAGATCAATTAATATAGATATATATTTATATATATAAAGAGAGAGGGAGAGAGAGTGTGTATGTGTCTTTTTATGGACAAAGAAGGAACATTATCAAATGGTTTGGTACAGCCGAGGATGGGGAGAGACAATTCTCCCGATCGAAATGCTCTCACATGGCTAGACGTATACAACCACTGACAAGGAAGTCCTACTCACTGCCTTCTTGTGATGAGGATGTTGTTTATGAAATTGATAGAACGAAATGTGAATATCCGGCACTTTAATTGGGTTGGTAGATATGGAGGATCGACCTAGGGAAGTTGGAAAACTCTCATTTTAAACCAGTGGTGCACATGGTCTCCAGTATCCTGAAAGAACAAATGGCGTCTGAACCTTTTGTTCACTGGCTGCCATGCGAATGTATCTCCTGAAGTTGCTTCACTGCCTTGTGGATTAGACCTTTATATCGAAGGCTGTGGGTGTGTCCAGCTAAGAAAACCACGTGTTTCGGTTTGAGCACCTGGGCATTACCAAAGCCCATACACAATTCAAGTGACTTATGTAGCGCATATTTATTCGGTGCCCCTTTGTACCAATATTTATGTGTTTAAATAAATAAATAACAGAAAAAGAACTATCACGAACACAGATATTTAATAATAATTTCCATAAACCTTTCTATCGACTTATACAATTATTTAATGGTTGAATTCATGAGTTAATTGAAGCTAGATAACCATAGAAAGCCCGAGCACACTGGACGGCCCTTTTATTCTAGCATGGGACTGTTCAACAGTGGGCATCCATGAGCCCTCCTTGTGAGGTTCGAACCCAGAACCTATCGCTCTCTCACCCGAACGCTTAACCTCTATAACACTGATCCGGCATCCAACGGTGTTAATGTTTATTTTCTACCAATCCACGAAATTACACCGCCGTCCAACATTGTCTCACAGCAGATCCGGCTGAACTCCATTGATCGCTGCTTCTTATTAGATATCCAGGAAATACCTTTTGAAGCCATTCACTACTGAGCATATGATGTCTCTTAATGTCTAATAAAAATAAGAAGAAGAAAATGAATAAAAGAAAATTTGACATTCTTTTAAACTTTATTTATTAATTTCAATAATTGATATCATGAATCAATGAAAGCTAAACCATCCCTAAAAACCTAGAAGCATTCAACAATTGTTTCGTTCTACTGTAAACTCTTCAGTTGTTTTTAATTTTCCGTCACAATGTGCTTATTGAGAGAAAATAAAATAAATTTAAGCAAAGATGGATAGTGGCTAACAGTGGACGCGCGTTTCATCCTATTTGGTATTCGTCAGCTGGATACGAGTAAAACAATACCAAGTAAATTTAAACAAATTTAGCCTACAAAATAAAATTTCATTAGTTAATATCATGAGTCAACTGAAGCTAGATCACCACTGAAAACCTGGAAGCAGTAGACGGCTGTTTCGTCCCAGTATGGAACTCCTCAGCAGTGCGCATCCATGATCGCACCCCTGGTGAGATTCGAACCCTGGACCTATCAGTCTCTCGCGCGATCGCCTAACTATTAGACCTTTGAGCCGAGTGTGAGATATCATCTCACTGAAGACAATGGTGTAGGTGGTGCAGTTTCGTGGATTGGTTGAAGTTAGGCATTAACACCACCTAGTGCTGGCTTAGTGGTCCAGTGGTTAAGCATTGATGCGTGAGATCGATATGTCCTAGGTTCGTATCCCTCGAGCAAGATCATGGATGCACACCGCTATGGAGTCTCATACAAATATGAAACGATTGTTCAGTGCTTCCAGATTTTCCTATGGTGATTTAGCTTCAATTGACTCATGATATCAACGAGTGAAATTTCTAAAATCTCCACAAAACCCCTTCTGAATAAAACAAATTCCATAAAAATCATTTCAACCAATCAAATTCGTTTATCTATTTTTTTTTACTACCTATATCTAATGATTCCTATCATTTGATTGGTTCATTTATTTAATGAATAAAGTATAAATACCCATGAAGTAAAACGTGTCATCATTATATTTAGATTAAAGTATAAAAGTGTAATTTGTTATTTTGACGGTTAAAAAGTACCCGGCGGGGGGAGGGAAGGGAACAGGTGAAGTAAATTGTATCCAAGCCACACACACACACACACAAAAAAAGATGGAATGGTTACTATGCTTAAAATATATAATTTTTTATAAAATAATTATATTAAATATATTACAATTTATAAATAATTATTATTGGAATGAAAAAACTATAAAACATCAACGTCAATGTATATTTCCATCAGTATATAAACGTAAAGCAATCTATGAATGTCAACATATTGATATAAATGGACCAAATGATGAACAATTCAATGTAATAACAAATAATCAATTATATTCATCTAAATGGTGGTGTCCATTAACTGATAATTATGATCATTATCCAGAATGGCAATTATGTCCAGAGACAACAACAACTTATGGTGGTAATCAACCAGGTAAACAATGTTATTTTCCATTTATTTATCATAAACGTTTATATACAACATGTATTAGAAATGATGGTAATTTAATATATCAACATGAAAATGATAGAATACCAATAGATAATGGTAAAAGTGGTTATTGGTGGTGTTCAACAACATCAAATTTTGATCATGATGGTTTATGGACAAAATGTCGTCCACAATTATCATATCAATTACCATGTTATTTTAAAAAACAAACTAATCATTATAATATAGGAGGTTTTATACAATCTAGTGATTATGAATGTCAACCATATTTAGGACATTGGATATGTTATACAGAATTAAAACAATTACGTGAATGTCCTAAATCAATACAATTATTACATAATATTAAAACTGAAGGTGGAAATGATCCTGGTTTTCCATGTTATTTCCCATTTCAAGCTACTTTATCATTACATCACATCATCATTATCATCCTCATCATAATGAAATAAATAGACCACAAAATTTCACACATTGTTTACCTGGTATAATTAATAATCAATTAGATCAACAATTATCAATTTATCCAACATGGATTGGTTATTGGTGTTCAACTACAGAAAATTTTGATCGTGATCAATTATGGACACGTTGTCATTTAAATATAAATCAACAAAATATGATTACATCATATAAATTATCAGAAATTTGGTCACAATTAAATTGGTTAACATTATTAACTTATAAAGAAAAATCAATAATTTCTATAAAAAATTTATCAAATACAATAAATTTTCAACAATCATTAAATTCTATAGAATTATTACGTGGTAAATGGGAATTATTTACTAAAAATAATTATGATCTAGATCATATATATCATGATCTTAATCATAATAATCAATATAATGATCATTATTATATTGAATTAACATGGTGGTTATGGTTAGCACCATTTTGGTGGATCACATATAAAACTAATCAATCATTGAATTCAACGAATCATTTAGTTCATACACAAATGATGAATATACATAGTAACCAATTAACTATGAATAGTAACAATAATAATAATGATAATAATCCATTAATAAGTGGATTAAATTTACCCACCTGGTTAAATGAATGGAGTGAATCAGGATGGTATTATTATAATATCAATATGAAAACAAAATGGAATCATTTATTATTATCTTTATATTATAAATGGTTAAAATCATGGTTATTAATATTTTTTATTGGTTTTTTATTGGGTATTTTATTGATTAGTTTTATTTTATTGATTATCTTTTTTTCATTAAAAAAATCAATACGTTTACAAATTATTGATTGTTTATTTCAAACAAAATATCAATCAATTATTAATTATCAATCAATAATACATCATAAATCATTAGAATTATCTACAACTGATTTATTATTTAAACAAAATTATTTATTAAATAATAATCAATTAAAAATCGATTTGATTGTAATTTTAAAGAGATACAAATTAGATCAATCAATAATAGGAATAATAATGATCATGATCATTTCGATTGTAATCGATTATTGACATTACATTCTATACATGATCATCATGATAATGTTGAACAGAATTTATTAGATAAATCGATAAATGATAAAGTAGATTCAAGTTGTTGTTGTTCTTGTTGTTGTTGTTGTGATTACTTATGGAATAATAATAGTAATAATAATGATAATACAAATACTACTACTACTAATACTAATAATGATACAACAACTACTACTACTGATATATACAATATAAGTAGTATAAATAATCCTAATAATAATCTTAAAGAATATATTAAATGTTTATTAGATGAACTGATTATTCAACATTCCAATAATGAAATTAATGATCATGATGATGAACATTATTATAAACAACTTCGTCATTTCTCTCATATTCTTGATATATATTTAAATAAAGATGAGAAATGTATGAATGATGAGAATCATGAAGAGTATGTAACATGTTATTTACATAATAATAATACAAATGAAATATATCAAAGTAAACAATTATGTCAGTGTTGTTGTCGTCGTCATCATGGTCATGATGATGATGATCATGATCATCGATATCATGATCATCATCATCGTCATTGTTGTTGTCGTCGTCGTCGTTGTTGTGGTAGTCTCCATCACCTCCGTCATCATCATCGTCATCATTGTCTACTTGAATGTTATTCATTAAATCATCAACCATTACAACATACGTTCCAGTATAATAATAATAATATGAATTATTTAGATAATCATGAAAATAATGAAATTAAATTAAATAATGACGAATTTATTATTGAACCAACAGCACCACCACCAAGTTATGATCAAATTGTACCAATATTGTAAGTAGGTTTTGTTTGTTTTTCTTTCCATATTTCTGACGAACTTTCTATCTATCTATCTATCTATCTATCTATCTATCTATCTATCTATCTATCTATCTATCCACACTTCTATCTATCTATCTATCTATCTATCTATCTATCTATCTATCTATCTATCTATCTATTTATCTATCTATCTGTTTTTTTGTTTGTATAATGTTTCTATGATTGAATAATTTATGTGAACATGACCTATGGGTGAATTCAAGGAAGCTGTAACAAATCTCAGAAAGACTTGAAGATATTCCATTCAATCATTTTATGGAACAATATTCTAAAATCCTTACAACATGTAGCTTCCCTATTGAACAAATGCTAATAATTCCTTGTATACGGATTAGATGCCGATGATGATGATGATGATGATGACGATTTTGTTTTTACAATTACTCAACAATTTTGTAACATCATTAATACTATTTTGAAATAATGGTCCTTCTTAATTGTTTCTGTTTTCTTATTTGTAACTAAGAAATGAGTTCTAACATTTGAATTGATCAAATTGTATTCCATATAACAAGGAATACAATGTCTTAGACATAACAATTTGTTTACTTGAATGAAACAAACAAACAGGTATATTTCAATTACTCACAATGTATAGCATTTCTTTCTTTATTCCTTCCTTTCTTTCTTTTTTCTTTCTTTTTTTCTTTCTTTTTTCTTTCTTTTTTCTTTCTTTTTTTGATTGTTCATTATCTTAACTTTTCTTTTTTGTTTATACAAATTGACAATTTAAAAAAAAGATAAACAAAAACAACAACAAAAATAAAACACAATGAAAATTTTATTTATTAATAAATAAATATGTAAACAATTGTATCATTGAAAATAAAAAAGATCACTATAGGATAATGTTTGCCTTTTATTGATTTTTATGTATTTAAGTTAAGAGTACATTTGTTTATGAATAATAATAATAAATATGTATATAATTATGTGTTAACATTTTGATATTGAGCTGACGTGCTAGTTGTGGCAGTCTGGTGCAGAGGGTTGGCGTCGAATGGAGTGTTCTGGCGAGATGGAGTTGGTTGTAGCAAGTGATGTCGACGGAGAGGAGCGGAGGGACTTGCGGCTGTTGGGAGGATGTCGGATGTAGATGTCTCAGTAGGCTGGTGGAGCACGAGTGTTAAGTGTTCCAGGTGCCGGGTGGATGTCGGATGTTGTTGCTTCGACAGGTCGATGGAACTATGGAGGTCAGCGCGCCGCAGACTCGACATTTTGACAAAGAGCGTAGCACACACTGCAGAGACAAAGAATGTGGCACAGTGAGCATGAACCATCACAAGAACGACTGTTTTAAAGGGAGGACGAGTGTGATGTGTGCTACTTATATGGACATAAATAGTATATAATATTAGTCAGGAACATAATTTCTGGCAGCAGAGATACAAGAGGATCGAACAGTAAAGAATGGGAATAGAACGCAATTTGTATGAAAATGCAAGAACAATGAAGTGTGGGCCATTTTGAGACAACTGATGGACATTTTGCAAACTAAGTATTTACTATTTGATTATTAGATTTTATTAACAAGTTCTGTCAAATACGTTCCATTGTCCCCACTGGTTTTCGTGTTCACTACATTAGGCCCGTGTTCATTTACTCTGTTTCACTTTACGACTGTGAAACATGGCCATTCAGAGTAGAAGATATTCGTTTTGCTCATATCTGCTGGGATCATTGGGTAAGTGATAGTGAGGTTAGATGCAAGGTATTAGAGAATGATGATAAATCAGTTGATGAGATTGTGAATCTTCATCGACAAAGATGGTTGAGCCACCTGTTACGGATGTCTGAACTCTGATTACTACGACGCGTAATGCTGACTAGTGTTGGAGATAATTGGAAGAATGCAAAAGGCGGTTAAACCAAAACGTGGGATCAGCCTACAAGTCACCAACTTATAGTGTGAGCCATGCTGTTAGATGCAGACTACTCGGTCGGGGTCCGCGTGACTATCGTAACCAATGGTTGGAGACTCTGTGTGACACGGCTGAGAATTGACCACAATGGCATCCATTATACACTCTCTGTCTTCCCTTAAACCGTGAGATTAAAACCGCTTCATATATCTCTTTCTACGAACTAATTCTTTCTTCCTGTACAATGCCTTTATATGCAATCTTTCTTTTATATATTATCACCATTGAATTAACTACTTCGGTGAATCCGGTGTTCATTTTGTTGTGCTAATAAGGTATGGCAACTTGGATCGATGCACATATGTGTCTTGTCCCACGTTGTAGCTGACTAACTGTCTGACGTTCAAGTTCTGGAGTGTAAATCAACTTTTAACATACTGGTACATTCAGTTGACGAATCTTAAATAGGACGAAACGTACATCTTGGGTTCCATTGCTAGCCATCACTCATTTTTGTTAATAATTATATGACATTCAAAAAGAAATCATATTTGTGAAAAATTTTAGAGACTGATATTAAAATAATGCTAACGTTTCGTTCCTTATATTAGTTTGAACTTCTTCAGGGAAATAATCAAACACATTACCAGCACAAGTGAGTACCTATCTGAATTCAGTAGCTAAGTGGATGACATGTTGGACTATTGGAGATAAAAGTACTAGATTCGAATCCCAAATGAAAATCAACTCTAATATATAAGTATAGCTGATAAAAAGTCTCAAAAAGAATATTTTGCTTGTCCTGGATTCCACTTCTACTCACATTTCATTGATTTTGCGTAAGTTTAAAATATAATGACAAGGCATAAAAGATGCGACTCTGTCTCCAGCACTTCTAGGGCTACTGTCGGTCCCATGCCCGGGTAAAGGAGGAGGGTTGGGCATGGGCTTAACAACCTCATCCCGTAGAAAACTAACTCGCAAAAAAACGCTAATCAGAAAAAATAATTCAGTGCTGGTGGGCGGCCTATGTTCCTCCACGAAGAGTAATTAATAAAAGATGCCGTTATGTCAAATAAGATTAAGCAAAATTCAGTCAAAATATCAACAATGGGATACTCCAAACTATTATAAGTTGAAAGTTAAGAAGTCTACATTTGACGGGTCAGTTCAGTTCTCTTACTTCTGTTGCATATTAATTGCCAAATAACGATATCGATAAACGATATAATTCAACATTATGACTCAATAATCTTTGATATTTGAAAAACAGGAGATTCTGTAGTTCCATCCATTTCATAAAACTTTTTGACGTAATGGTTATGTTGAATCAGTCTGTATAGGATGCATGTATACTGACTAAAACTGGTCGAAATCTAATACATTTCACAACCCCATCTGAGTGCGAACTAACGACCGTCAAATCATAAGATAAACGCTTAGCTGTCAAAACCTTTAAGTCGCTCTCTATTGATAAACATTTACAAAGTCAGTCAATTCATGACATAGCGCAATAATCCCTTGACAAATTTCTGAATTCTGTCAGTCATAAATTCTGACTAGAAGTTTTGGAACATTTCAAGTCGAGTCATTATTCAGTTAACTATTATGGTTTATCTTCGTGGATGAAATCACAAACTGATCTTAGCTGGACGACTAACAAAAACCGAAAAAAGCTGGGGAATGTTTTCGTCCCAGTACGGAAATATCCAACGTTGCACATCCATTACATTGCCATTAGGGAACCAAATACAAGATCTTCAGTATTTTGAACGAACGCTTAACCTCTAAGTCACTGAGCTGGCATCTAATGGCGTACAGGTTAAAATTCAATCACTTTATGATACTATACAACAATCTCCATGTACATGTATATGCACACCATTCAATATCGGCGTTAAGCATTCCTTCACAATACTGAAGGTCTTAGATTTCATTTCGTAAGGCAGTGTTGTGAATATGCACTGTTTGCTGGTTCTGTACTAGGACAAAACAACTTTCCAGTTTTTCTTGGCTTTAATTGATGGTCTAAGATCAGTTCGTGACTTAAACTATAAAAATTCTACAAAACTCTATATTGATAACAATCATGTGTTCACTGGTAATTACCTTCTAGATAAAACTCTTGAAGTTCGAATGAGAAGCTATGACCAGTGGAGTATAACTATTTCACATATGAGATAGTAATACACAATAGGCAATTGAAGGTGGTCGAGTGATATCGGAGATCATCAATTATTCAATTGAAATGGATCAGAATATGACGATTGTATTGTTTGAAATGAAGAAAATGGTATGCAAATAAATAGTATGCCTACTTACACATGGATATATATACATGAATAAAAATTTCAAGAAAGACTGCTGAATCAGTTTTTGTAATAACCTCCATATAAAATTGGAATTCTTAAGATTTCAATGTGCAAAGAAATGTCCCTTCATAGTTATAATTTCAGGCACCCCACAGAACAGTGCATATTTTTAGATTATAATATGAATGTATTTCACTTGGTATTGTTTACTTGAATCTTCTCATTGATGTTCAGGACTACAATTGATCAGTCTTTTATTGGCATATGTGCGCACCTTGTGTAAGCCTCGATATAGCCTTAATTCACGAGCGTTATATGCAAATATGGCTGTAAAGACTCAGTAGCTAAGTGTATGACGCGATGGTGCTTGCAGCGAGCGGTACTGAGTCCAAGTCACAGAATGAACATCAAATCTGGGGTACAGGTACATCCAGTTATTGAATCCCAGATGGTACGAAACGAGTAACATGGATTCCACTGCTAGCCACTATTCATATTTGAATATGAATATATTGTTTCATACAGGTAGAAGAAATATCTTTCTTATCATCATCATCATCATCATCATCATCATCATCATCATCATCATCATCATCATCATCATCATCATCATCATCATCATCATCATCATCATCATCATCATCATCATCATCATCATCATCATCATCATCATCATCATCATCATCATCATCATCATCATCATCATCATCATCATCATCATCATCATCATCATCATCATCATCATCATCATCATCATCATCATCATCATCATCATCATCATCATCATCATCATCATCATCATCATCATCATCATCATCATCATCATCATCATCATCATCATCATCATCATCATCATCATCATCATCATCATCATCATCATCATCATCATCATCATCATCATCATCATCATCATCATCATCATCATCATCATCATCATCATCATCATCATCATCATCATCATCATCATCATCATCATCATCATCATCATCATCATCATCATCATCATCATCATCATCATCATCATCATCATCATCATCATCATCATCATCATCATCATCATCATCATCATCATCATCATCATCATCATCATCATCATCATCATCATCATCATCATCATCATCATCATCATCATCATCATCATCATCATCATCATCATCATCATCATCATCATCATCATCATCATCATCATCATCATCATCATCATCATCATCATCATCATCATCATCATCATCATCATCATCATCATCATCATCATCATCATCATCATCATCATCATCATCATCATCATCATCATCATCATCATCATCATCATCATCATCATCATCATCATCATCATCATCATCATCATCATCATCATCATCATCATCATCATCATCATCATCATCATCATCATCATCATCATCATCATCATCATCATCATCATCATCATCATCATCATCATCATCATCATCATCATCATCATCATCATCATCATCATCATCATCATCATCATCATCATCATCATCATCATCATCATCATCATCATCATCATCATCATCATCATCATCATCATCATCATCATCATCATCATCATCATCATCATCATCATCATCATCATCATCATCATCATCATCATCATCATCATCATCATCATCATCATCATCATCATCATCATCATCATCATCATCATCATCATCATCATCATTATAATGTCTAATTTAACCTTAGGAATTTTACTGATTGTTTTTATATTGGCAACAAATTGTAAATGACGCCAAATTTTATTGAGCGAAATTATGATACCAATTGTCATTAATCTTGTGCATTACAATGAATATTTTAGGAATTATAAGTAATCAAATTGTTGATCAGAACATTCTGAATTCCTGAGTTAATCAAATAAATTTGGTGACAGGATTTAGTAATGTATACACTGTAGAGACCACAGTGTAATTCATAAATGTTAAAGTGTTGTATTTCCTCAAATTTAACAAGATATTGTCAATATTCGGTATTAACTTGACATAATAGACTCTATGATGAATTAACTTCATTCAACCAGGAGATCTTCAGTTTGAAGTTGCGTTATCATGACAAGATAAAATATTGTTTTTTTCCAATGATAATTAACTGTATCCTTGTTAATATCAACAATAATTTATCTCAATAGTTCAGATCATGAGTTAACTGAAGCTAGACGACCATAGATAACCTAGAAGCACTGAACGGCCGTTTCATCATATTATGGGATAAGTGACTGGCTTTAAGATGTATAGCCTGGAGTTCTGGTGAGAAGCAGTGACCAGTGGAGTTCAACCGGGTCTATCGTGAGATGGTAACTCTTTGATGTCAATGGTAGATGTGTCGCCCAATTTCGTGGAGTAGTTGAAGATTGACAATAACACCGTTGGATACCGGCTCAGTGGCCTAGTGTTTAATAGCTCACGTGCTAGATCGACGGGTCCTGGGTTCAAATCCCATGAGTCGAGTTCATGGATGAGAACTGCTAAAGAGTCCCACAATAGCACGAAACGGCCGTTCAGTGCTCCCACGTTCTCTATGGTGGTCTAGATTCATTGAAAACATAGAGTCCTAATATGAAACTTCTCAGTAGTTTACATTTATGATTACACACGCGGATTTCGAACTCAGGACTCTCTTTCTCTGTGTTGAGTTCAAATGCTTAACCTCTAGATCAATAGACCGGTATTTAATGGTATTAATGTCTAACTTCAATCAACTCATAAATTCAATCATTACAATACTACTACTAATTCCGGTAATTACTATTCAGATAAATTATGAATTATCTTGTGATGATGGAGAAGATTTGCAGCCCAATTGAATGATTTCGACAAAGTTTTGTACTTTTATCTGGATGGTTTAGTCACATGAAGCTTTTCATCGTTCCTTTGAATGACATCATCAGCACAAAACTTCAAATAGAAGTTCAATCGTATCATAATAATATTCAATAGAAAAACGTATTTACTTATGTAAGCAATGATGGATAGTAGCTAACAGTGGAATCCAGGATGCGCGTTTCGTCCTATTTCCCAATGTTTGTTTCAATAAATCTTATAAGATGTATTCAAGTCAATTATAATAATAAACAATAAATTCGATTTATTTATTTAAAGTTAAAGAAATAAAGGTGTGGTTATTCAACTTATTTTGTTTTAATAGTTGGATTGAATGAATACACTAAAGATTCAAATGTCAATTTCAAGGCGGTCTATTTCAATAGTTTTGGATTGTTTTTGAATTGAATGATCATAAATAGTAACTAAATGTATTCACTTACTTACTTACGCCTGTCACTCTTCGTGGAGAAGCATTGGTCGCCAACCAGCACTCTTTATCCAAACCTGTTCTGGACAATCTTCTCTAGTTCTTTCCAGTTGTTATTCATCTTTCTCATATCTACTTCCAATTTCAAATGTAGTATGTTCTTTGACCTTCTTCTTTCCCGTTTCCTTTCAGGATCCCAAGTTAGGGCTTGCTTCCATCGTCTTTTCATAATTTCCTGTTCAATTGGAAGGTGGTTTGTTCTCTCCCACAGTAGACTGCTGCTGATGGTATCCGGTCACTTGACAATGAGTATCTTGAGTAGACAACTATTTATAATTACTTGTACCTTCTTGATGGTGGTTGTTGTTGTTCTCCAAGTTTCAGCTCTGTATAGTAAGACTATCTTGACGTTCATATTAAAGATTGTGACTTTGAGATTTGTTGAAAGTCGATTTAAGTTCTATATGTTCTCCGACTGTAAAAATACCGTCTTTGATTTGCTAATTCTTCATGATGGTTGTGGTAGTTCTCCACGTTTCAGTTCAGTACAGTATTCACGTACTATTAAAAAAAGGTTTACAACTTATTATAATGTTAATTACTGGAAAGCCTTAAAGGAAACTCTACAGTGTTTGGCAAATTTTCTTGCGTATTCATTCTTCAAACAAAGAAAGAAATAAGTTTATTGAAATTCAAGGAGCTTATATATGATAGATGGCCAAACAATTGATTGTGGTAGATGGATAAATGATGGGTGACCGATATTGAGTTTTAAAAATATCGATAAAATATATTGATCGATGTTAGATCACCACTGAAAACTTGAGATCACTGAATGACCGTTTCGTCCTAGTGTGGGTCTCCTCAATAGTGCGCATCCATGACCCCACACGTTGGATTCGAACCCAGGATATTCAGTTTCACAAGCTAACGCTTAACATCTAGATCATTGAGCCGGCATCCAACGGTGTTAATGTCTAACTTTCATTAATTTATGAATGGCTACGCAACAATTTATTCATCGTTTGAGGTGGATACCTGTCTCTATTCGATAAGGATTGGATTGCACTGGTCACGACTTCATACTAGAACTTCAAGAAATCACCTTAGAGCCCTACAGTAGCACGTAATGGACATCCAATGCTTTCAGATTTTCCATGGTGGTTTAACATCGATCAATTCATGATCTCAATCAAAATATCAATGTTTAAACATCAATAAAATGCAATAATAAAAAATCTTTCTACCAATTCTTAGCGAGATTATCTCTATTCTTGATGTTAAAGAACGGAATTCGATCGTCAATTCATCAAGTTGATTAGACAATAGATTGAATATGAAATTTTCTTAACATAGTTGAATGTTAACTTCATGATTTAAATGTTAAGCACTTACTCATTAGATTGACAAGTCCTGCATTTGAATCCATCACATGGATTTGTGAATATGTATTATTGAAGAAGAGTCTCATACAGGGACGAAACAATCATCCAATACTTCCAAATTTTCTATGACAATCTCATTTTAATAAATAAAAAAATATGATCTGAAAACATTTTTATATTCATAAAATATTCAGACTAATTGTCTCATTTTAAATATATATCACCATTTATAGTAAATCGATTTTCAATTGAAGAGTAACACCCAATGTCATTATTTATGTATGTTTCCTGTAACTATGGTAATTATGTATGAAGGAAAATAGTATATGTGTATACATAAGTTAACTAAGTGTTACAATAATGTTACTTTTTTTTCTGATTATATAAAGAAAAAAAAAACCCCATAAAACTGTAACAAATAATAAAACGAACTTGGAAAAGACAGTTTCTACTATATGGTTGTTGTTGTTGTTGTAATAGTCGTCGAGATTTTAATATCCGGATATAAGTTTAATAAAACGACAAGGAAATTTGAAATTGAACTAAAATTCGGACAATGATGAATTACAATAGTTGAAATCATGAGTTCATTGAAGCTGGATCACCATGAAGAACTTAGAAGCAATGGACGATCGTTTCGTTCTAGTATGGAACTCCTCAACAGTGCGAATTCATGATCCTGCCCTTTCGTGAGATTCGAACCCAGGACCTATCAGTCTTGCACGCGAGCGTTTAACCAACTAGACCACTGATCTGGCTAGCATCCAACAGTGTAAATATCTAGCTTCAATTAATCTACGAAATCATGTCACCTTTCACCATTGTCTTCAGTAAGCTGACATCTCACAACAGACCTGGTTGAACTCCACTGGTAACGGCTTTTCAACTATAGAAATTATTAAAATCCCCACAAAACCCCTTCAGACAATTATGAATAGATCAATGTTAGAGTACCAATATAAAACACGGAGTTGCTTGATGGTCATTTCGATGAAGTACAGGATTCCTTAGTGGTATGCGTTCACGATCGCTCACGTAGGAATCAAATATAGGACATTCGGTTTCACGTGCGAACGTTTCACTTCTGAACCACCGAATCGATATCCAAAGTTGCGATTATCCTATTTCTATTATTTTCTCCGGTGGGTAACAGTTTCAAACCCGACATGGTTCAACTCCGCAAGTAACAACGATCTTCACAACACCATAGTGATAGTATTTGATTTCTGCGCGAAATCGTCATGTCATGTACAATGAGCACTGAAAACACTTTCTATACCATTCAAAACGTTTTAAATGATATTGAAAATGTCTGCAAACATGGAGTTAAAATGAAGGTAACAGAAGTATGAAATAATTAGTTACAGCTCATTTCACTGTAAGTGATAGATGAATCAACACTATCCTTACTACTCAACCATAACCAGACTTTATCGTGAAACAAATCTAAACTTATTGTCGCTATATTGTTATAGACGAACTATTCACATAGAACGTCGTAGATTTTTGAGAGAAGTTCATCCATCTATTGCTACATTATAGCTAATAACAATTTGTATCGAGAACTCTGACCAAAAATACCAAACAATATGAGGACATATATATCGGTTTGAATCCTTATTATAAGAGTTTGAGAATATGGATAATCTTTATCCATTAGGAGACGTTTATACATCATTGTTTTTATATTTACAGACAGAGTAACAAGTGTACACTCTGTTTATGTTTTGCTATGTAGTGTGTAATGAACGAGAACATCAGTGAGGACAACCATATGCATTTTGGGAAAATCTCAGAACCATATAATGAATAGTTCATTTGCAATATATCCATCAATTGTCTCACACTTCATTGTTCCTGTGTCTCCACACTAATCATTCTCTGTTCTCCTTCCATTTCCTCAACCTTCTCACATCAGCCATTTCAATTTCGATCAGTGATACAAATACTACTTATATCTGTCCATACCAGTAGCACATATCACAATTATATTGTCTTTATCATCACATACAAAAACTGTTCCCTCATTGGTTGAAAATTCATCACGGTTCTTTCAAACTCATCCTTACACCATACATTTACAGTATTTCCTTCTATTAGTTAATTAATTATTTATGAAAATAACAATCCATAATGATTGATGCCTTTGTTCTCTATAATCTGTGAACGGTTAATAAAAGACACAACAACAACATAGAAGAAGAGAGTTCTGTTCAACCCTTAGAAACTTCTATATTCCTCCACTGATCATTACAATGATGACCTCACTTCCTTCACAGAGTTCATTCAAGTGTTTCTATCTCTCCCTCTGTCTCCTTCTCTCTCTCTCTCTCTCTCTCTCTCCCCCCAATTTCATCAATTAGATAAATTGAAAAAAACAAAGAAAAGAAGAGTAATGAAAAGAAAGGAAAAGAAATAGAGATTAATATCACCGACAATGATCTAAAAATTCAATATGGAAAGTTCAATGTTATTTTATGTCCATCATAAACACCCTAATATTTATCTATCTGATGAAACTTTGTCAACATACCTGATTACATACACTACTGAAGTGTGTGCTACTAACATTGACAGATATCAGTAATGTATGTATCAACAATCGAAAGTGAAATGTCTGGTGGACAAAGGTTAGGAATATCAAAGTAAATACAATGAGAACAAAGAATGATTGTTGTGGAAACAATGAACAATGACGATTGATACGATTGATTGACATTTCGTAATTGTAGTATGTGTTGTATACTTCTCAGATTTTACTAAGAGATTCTGTAATGCTCCATTCAAATATATTTGGTTGTTCCCACTTGTGTTCTCGTTCACTATATTTGATTTTACTGCCAACAAGGTGGGGTGAGGTTGCTATTCTGTGGACATCATTGCGGGTCTGGTGCTATGGTGTTGGGTGGGGCTGTCTGGTACTACTACTACTACTACTACTACTACTAACACTACTACTTATAATAATAATCACAGTATAGTTATCACAATACATGTTATAAATAATCATAATGTAAGGAAGTATCAATCGGATTTGAGAAAATATCTCAGCAACGTTTCGACGAAATTCAAACATGACCGGCTCTCATCTCTTATCACATGAAGAGTTCAATACGAATACAATCGGACAATGGTCAAGATGAAAATTCTACATTAAGTAAATATACAAAAAAAACACCACATTGTTGATTGTGTTTAGGTGTTACTCCTTTCTATGTTGATTGCACAGATTATGTGAACCAATCTGTTTTCATACTAATCTCTCAAATAAATCAATTCACTAATGACTCATTAGACAACTCACAAGATCTGCTCAGCAGTAATGATGAAGTAGGAATGTTAAAACATTCATCAATTTATATGTGTGACTGATTCCAAAAATTACCTCTCGAAGCTAGTCACTAGTGAGTACATGGTAATTATCAGAATGAGGTTGTGGAGATTGTTGAGTTTTTTATTGAGATGATGAATCAATGGATGTTAGATCACCATTGAAAACCTGGAGTCACTGGATGGCCCTTTTGTCCTAATATTCCGGCTCAATGATATAGACTTTGAGTATTCTCGCGTGAGACCGGAAATTCTGCGTTTAAATCTCGCACGCGGGATCGTGGATGAGTACTGCTGAGAAATACCGTACTAGGAAGAAACGGTCATTCAATACTTATAGGTTTCTAATGGTTGACTAGCTTTAATCAACTTGTGAATTCAACTATTTAAAACAATCGACTAATGTTTATTCATAATAGTGTCATGATGGGGAAATTCTAAACAGATGACAAGTGATTAATCAATGAAAAATCTGATGATCAACAAATAAACAATCAAGTTGAACGTTTTGTTTATTATATCCAAAATCTGTTACACATTATGATATGCTTGATTGAATAAAAGTTATTTGTACATTTGGGAGAATATAATGGTTTACTTACTTACTTACTTACTTACTTATGCCTGTTACTCCCAATGGAGCATAGGCCGCTGACCAGCATTCTCCAACCCACTCTGTCCTGGGCCTTCTTTTCTAGTTCCATCCAATTCTTGTTCATTTTTCTCATGTCTATCTCCATTTCTCGGCGTAATGTGTTCTTTGGTCTTCCTCTTTTCCTTTGACCTTCAGGATTCCATGTGAGGGCTTGTCTTGTGACGCAGTTGGGTGCTTTCCTCAATGTGTGTCCTATCCACTTCCAGCGCTTCTTCCTGATTTCTTCCTCCGCTGGGATCTGGTTTGTTCTCTCCCACAGTACGTTGTTGCTAATAGTGTCCGGCCAATGGATCTGAAGTATTTTGCGTAGACAATTGTTAATAAACACCTGTATTTTCTGGATGATGGCTTTTGTAGTTCTCCAGGTTTCTGCCCCATACAGTAGAACTGTCTTGACATTTGTATTGAAAATCCTGACCTTGGTGTTGGTTGACAGTTGCTTTGAGTTCCAGATGTTCCTCAGTTGTAAATATGCTGCTCTTGCTTTGCCGATCCGCGCCTTCACATCTGCATCAGATCCACCCTGTTCATCAATGATGCTGCCCAAATATGTAAAGGTTTTTACATCTTCCAAATCTTCTCCGTCAATTGTGATTGGATTGGTGCATTCTGTGTTGTATCGGAGAATCCTGCTTTTCCCTTTGTGTATATTGAGACCTACTGCTGCTGAGGCTGCTGCCACACTGTTCGTCTTCTCCTGCATCTGTTGTTGCGTTTGGGATAGAAGGGCCAGATCGTCTGCGAAGTCTAGATCATCCAACTGCATCTTAGATGTCCATTGTATCCCGCGCTTCCCTTCAGACGTTGACGTCTTCATGATCCAGTCGATCACCAGGAGAAAGAGAAAGGGTGAGAGTAAGCAACCTTGCCTAACACCGGTCTTCACTTCGAACGACTTTGTCAACTGTCCTCCATGCACGATTTTGCAGTGTAATCCATCATATGAGTTCTGTATGATATTGACTATCTTCTGAGGCACGCCGTAGTGTCGAAGAAGTTTCCATAGTGTTGTTCTGTCCACGCTATCAAATGCCTTTTCGTAGTCAATGAAGTTGATGTAGAGTGATGAATTCCATTCAATTGATTGTTCCACAATGATCCGTAGAGTTGCGATTTGGTCTGTACACGATCTATCCTTACGGAATCCTGCCTGTTGGTCACGAAGTTGGGCGTCTACGCAGTCCTTCATCCTGTTTAACAATACCCTGTTGAAGACTTTTCCCGGTATTGAGAGAAGAGTGATGCCCCTGTAGTTATCACAGTTGCTGAGATCGCCTTTCTTCGGTATTTTGATCAGAAGTCCTTCTTTCCAGTCTGTTGGTACTTGTTCCTCATCCCAAATCTTATTGAAGAGAATGTGGAGTATCCTTGCAGTTGCCGCTACGTCTGCTTTTAGTGCCTCTGCTGGGATGTTGTCCGGTCCTGCTGCTTTGCCACTCTTGATTTGTCTGATGGCCATGCTGATTTCTTCAATTGTTGGTGGGCCAACATTGATTGGGAGGTCCGTGGGTGCTGCTTCGATGTTGGGTGGGTTCAGTGGAGCTGGTCGATTCAAGAGTTCTTTGAAGTGTTCTACCCACCTGTTTTGTTGCTCTTCAATGTTGGTGATTACCTCGCCTTCCTTGCTTTTCACTGGTCGTTCTGGTTTGCGGCGATTTCCAGAGAGTTTCTTTGTCGTGTCATACAGTTGTCTCATGTTTCCTTCTCTTGCAGCCTTTTCCGCCGTCGTTGCTAAATCTTCCACATATTTACGTTTGTCGGTTCTGATGCTCCTCTTCACTTGTTTGTTTACTTCTGTGTATTCAGCTTGTGCCTTGGCTTTTTCTGCTCTTGTTCGACTGGTATTGATTGCTGCCTTCTTGTTCCTTCTTTCTTGAATCTTATCCAGTGTATCAACAGTGATCCATTCCTTGTGATGGTGCTTCTTGTGACCCAGGACCTCATGACATGTTGAAGTGATTGCCTCTTTGATCCCCTTCCAGTTGCTCTCCACAGTAGTTCCTTCTCCATTGAGTAGATCATGAAAGGCCTGGAACTTGTTGCTGAGGACTATCTTGAATTTGTTGAGTTTGTTAGTATCCTGAAGAAAGGCCGTATTGAACTTTTGTGATATTGTCCGCCCCGTTGTCCAGTGCTTCTTGAGTTTCAATTTCATCTTGGCGACCAGCAAGTGATGATCTGATGCTATATCAGCTCCTCTCTTGGTTCTCACGTCCTCTATAGTCCTCCTGAACGTTTTGTTGATGCAAATATGGTCGATTTGGTTTTGTGTAGTGTGATCCGGTGAAGTCCATGTGGTTTTGTGTATGCGTTTATGTGGGAATATGGTGCCGCCTATGACCAGCTTATTGAAGGCACATAGATTTGCAAATCTCTCACCATTTTCGTTTCTTTCTCCCAGTCCGTGTCGTCCCATGATGTCTTCATATCCAGTGTTGTCCGTTCCAACCTTGGCGTTGAAATCTCCCATCAGAATGGTCAGGTCCTTTGTTGGGCACTTCTCGACGATTGACTGCAGCCTATTGTAGAATTGATCTTTAGCGTCTTCATTGTAGTCGTTGGTAGGCGCATAGCATTGGATGATGTTCATTGAAATGCCCTCTTTCTTTGTTTTGAACGAGGCTTTGATGATCCTTGGTCCATGAGATTCCCATCCTATAAGCGCATTTTGCGCTTGTTTGGACAGCATCAATGCAACTCCTTGTGTATGTGGTGCATTTTCTTCTTCATGGCCGGAGTATAACAGGAGCTCTCCTGTAGTTAGTCGTTGTTGTCCAACTTGTGTCCAATGTGTTTCACTGATCCCAAGTACCTCTAGGTTGTATCTTCTCATTTCTGCAGCAATTTGGAAGGCTCTCCGGTGTCCCACATTGTACGAACATTCCATGTACCTAAATAAATGGTCGCTCTGGTTGCCTGGAGTCCCTCCGGGGGCTACTGCCGGTCACAAGCCCGGATAAAGGAGGAGGGTTGGGCATGGGGTTAGCGTCCCCATCCCGTAGAAAACTAACTCGCTAAAAAAACGCTAACCAGAAAAAATTATTCAAACCTTTTAAACTCTGCCCCGGGAGTCAGAAGGTCTTCATTTAGAAGAATTATGACGCCTCATGATGAAAGCCGAATTCCTTCGGAAGTTACGAGGCCGATGCCCCTTCTGACAATCAGAGAATATAATGGTAGTCTAACATTAATCAATTCATGATCTCAATAAAAAGATTTAATAATCTCCACAACCCCATACTAATAGTTAGCATATGCTTACTAGTGACTAACTTTGTGAGGGAATTCTCGGAGTTCTAGTGAGATACTGTGACCAGTGGAGATAATTCATGTCAGGTAGAGACAGGTATCTAACTCAGTACAATGGAAGATGGTCGCGCAATTTCGTGGATTGATTGAGGTTAGACAATAACACTATTGAATACCAACTCAGTGGTCTAGTGGTTAAGCGTCCACGCAAGAGATCGAAGTCGTGGGTTAGAATCCCATGAGTGGAATTGTGGATGAGTACTTCTGAGGAGTGCCACAAAAGAACAAAACGACCGTTCAGTGCTTCCAGGTTTTCAACGGTGATCTAGCATTATTCGATTAATGATCTCAATCAAAAACTTAACAATCTCCTCAAGCAATAGTCAATAAAGTCAAGCGATTTTTTAACATGTTGACTACAATCGACCATCAATTAGTGTTTGATACACTGAATAAATGTTCTTTATGTAGGTAATCTGTGTAAATAGTCGGTCTTCTCGAACAGGATAAAAATGTTATGAGTTATAATGTGCGATGTTCAAGATCTGATACTGAAAAACAAAGTGTTATGCCTTTTACTTCTCTGACTAATTACTGATTGAGAAGAGAAGAGTGAAGGAGAAGTTTATTGATCTACCAAATATACGTATGAATATTCGCTTATACTGATACATTTCTACCGCTAAGAAAACCAATCCATGCGTTTGTCATTTAGAAATAATCTGATTGTCACTAAGTGACCAAAATATGGTATAAATCCATGAAGTCATCGACAACTTGACTTAGCCATGTTGGTAGGCTTAAACTACCTGGTTAGGAGCCGCCGGACGATAACTACCGATGGTTAGAGACCTTGAATGACATGGCTCGAAATCGTTTGCAATAGTGCAGCTGCATCCACTCTTTGTGTTCTTCCGAATTCTAATCTTTTGAATTCTTCATATCCCTTATTTATTTCCTTTCCAAATTTATTTCACTGGATTATACTCCTTGGATAATGTCCTCAAACCCTAATGTTTTGATTAGTGCTTATACTTTTACTACCTCAAGTACTATGGAATTTGAATCGACAATTTTATGTCTGTGGTAATGTGGTATGGCAACTCGAACTGATGTACGTACGTACGAAGTTCTACTTGTTGCTTACTGACTGACTGAAGTGACCTCATCTGCCTACTATTGATTGATTTATTGTATAAACGTGACATCTCCTAGTAGATACTTAACGTAATTTATCCTATAGTGATAACCAAGTGAATCAGCTTCATTGGTGACTGTAAAGATCAAATAGAATCTTATTGGAACAACAGCATTTGTATTAAGAACAGGTTAGAGAAGCACAGAATGGAACTAGTACTGTACGGGTTTGCCATGGCGTACAATCAACTAATCCTCTTTGGTTATCTTTGACTTGTAAGAAGTAAAGTAGACCGTTTAACATTCAATGATCTAGAGTCTAACATAGAAACGGTTCAAGTCGATTGATGGCTTGGCTTGGGCTCAGTGACATTTCTCTGGCCGTATAAGACACTTAGTTTTTAGCTGATCCATAGAGTTCCACAATCTCTAACATTTGAATCCCTGGATATATCCCTAGATAGTTTTCAGAGGGGTCTTTATTTAGTACAAATAAAGCGATGTTGCAAGTGTTTACTTATATATATATATATATATATATATATATATATATATATATATATATATATATATATATATATATCCACAGACGATAAGTAATAAACTAAACGACATCTTGATTCATTTATGTACTGGTTGATTAAATCTTTCCATTGATGTTGAGATGGATTGTGTCTAGCAGTGGAATTTAGGACAAGCGTTTAGTCCTATTTGAGATTCGTCAGCTGTATATACCTGCATCCTAGAGTTTATGTTCATCCTGGGACTTGAATCCACCGTCTCCGCGATTCAGTTACATCCAGCTGACGAGCCCCAAATAGGACAAAACGCTGATTCTGGAATCCACTACTAGTCACCATCCATCTCTGCTTATAGACGACATCTTATTTCCGTTGTATTATTTTGAGTTAGTAAACTGATTTATCACTATGAGATTTATGGAGACTATTGAATTTTATTAAGATCACGAATCAATCTACATTATGCAGTTTTGGAAACTCGAAAATACCGGACGGCCATTTCATTCTAATATGAGACTGAATTACATCTTAGTTAATCTGTACAACTGTTTTATATTCATAGGTGATATTTGTCAATAGTAGAACTTAATTGAGAAGTGAGTATTATTTAGAACTAAGGTGTGAGGACTGTACATGGGTAAACTAGAGGAAGCTCTTTTTTTCACTTGTCTTCTGTCTTCTCACTTTCGACTTGGGAGTGTCCTGGCGTTCGTGTGCTGAAGTCATACACGGTATATTAGAAATCTAAGCTCTAGATATGACATAAGGATTATGAGCAAATGTCTCATTCCAATAAGAATGATTACTACGCCACAGCCTTTGAGACTAAATATCTCTAGGAGTTATGAAGAATGTCTAACCATTCAAATCCCTTTTATTCTGCTTTAATTATCATTCCATTTTAATTGCTAAATTCATGAATCAATTAAAATTAAACTACCATGGAAAATCTGAAGTACTGAACGATCGTTTCATATTTGCATGAGACTCCTCAGCATCGCGCGTTCATGATCCCGATCGCAGGATACGAACCTAAGACACATCGGTCTCACGCGGGAACGCCTAACCTGTCGACCACTGAGTCGGCCACCATCCAATGTTGTTAATGTCTAACTTCCACTAATTCACAAAACTACGTCACCGCCCATCACTG